TGCTTAAGTCAAAAGCTGGAAGTAGCATTGGAGGTGCTTTTTTCTGCTTTTAGGTTATTTGGTAAATATCTAAAATATTGGGGATAAGTTTTATCCCTAAACTTACGGCTGAAATCCTAAAGTACCCTCCTGACACCCCAATCTAGCTTTCTTCTCCAAGCTCTCCTCCATCGGGTTTAGGTTTTAGAGATGAACCAACACAATCATTTTGCTACACAGCCAAGATTCAGATATTTGCTACAGGGTTGGGTATCTAATCAAGCCTCTCCTCATAAATCAAGGAGGAGGCAGAAGAAGTCTACAACGCCTGCCGGCCGGCCGGCCGCCGCTACAGTAATCCCCTCCTGGCATGGACAGCCTAAGTTAATTTTAACAACGTTTATTCTTGGACAACTTGAAAATCTAATTAAAAACATTGAAAATTATTGTTAAGTAATAGATGTGATAATAATAATAATCTTTTTGCAATAGAAACAGAAATTTGGTATGAAGTTGGGCACTTGACAACTCTCCTATATATCCATTATACTGCAAAGAAGAATGCCCGCCGCCATATGAGCCTACCGGTAGGTGGTTCAGGCTGAGAAGGTTTAAAAAAATACTTTCTATACTATATTAATTAGGAAAATGTTAGGGGTACACAAGTTGTACACAACTTGTACACACAATGTCGGTCACAGACAATTGGTACGGAGTTGCCTGTGACCACAGACAAGAGTTGTCTGTGTACACAGACAAATTTTGTCTGTTTCCACAGATATTTACTTTTTTGTAAAAAGTACACTGAGAGCCGCCTGACATTGACAACTACTTTTTACAAAAAATTAAATGTATGTGGAAACAGACAAAATTTGTCTGTGCACACAGACAACTCTTGTCTGTGGTCACAGACAACTCCGTACCAATTGTCTGTGACCGACATTGTGTGTACAAGTTGTGTACAACTTGTGTACCCCTAGCATTTTCTTATTAATTAATACCCGATAGTATATATTTTATTTATGTAAGGGCTTTTTTGTACTTTAATAAAACTTTATATCATTAATAACATTTTTATCAAACACTTCAACTTTTACCTTTTCACTTTAATTACTTCTATTCTCAAACACTACCAACTTTTACTACAAATCACTTATCCAATAATCTATTAAAAAAATCACTCTTAAAAAGCACAAGCAACCACAAATACTCCCTTAGAAGCACCAATATACCAGCTTTTAACTTTTGGCTTTTAAGTGCTTAATTTAAGTAGGAGTTGGTGTTTGAAAACACTACTTTTAACTTTTTTTAAGCCAAAACCTAAAAAGTGCTTTTTATAATTTTTCGCAAACACTGCCTTATTGTCTTACTCCCTCCGTCCCGAAAAGGTTGACCAAATTTTCTTCTTTTTTGGATGTCCCAAAAAGATTTGCAATTTCTATTTAAAGTAAGAAATATGTGGCTAAAATTAATTCTCTCTCCTCTGCACAAATTTCAACCACACAATTTTTACTTTATTAATCCACGTGAAAGTCAACTTTGGCCAACATTTTCAGGACGGAGGGAGTATTTTAGTAACGTCCCAAAAGTGATTAGTCAAATAAGGCATTCTACTATTACAGAATCGTCACATAATGTCATGTACTCAATAAAGTTTCATATAAATATGTCTGCTTATAAAAAACAATCAAATGAGTCCTAACGACCCGTTGACAACCTTCTAATCCCGATTTTAGCTTACGTGTCGTTATTAATTTCTTGTATTTAAGCCAATTTTGACTAAATATTTCACGTCAATGATATAATCTATTTCGAAAAGATAGCCGGACATACGCTAAAATCGGGATTACGAGGTTGTCAAAAGGTCATTATGACCAATTCACCCATTCGATTGTTTTTTATAAGTAGACGTATCTATATGACACTTTATTGAGTATATAGTTTTATGTGGCGATTTCATAATAGTAGAAGACCTTATTTGACCCTTACGGTATGTTTGGGAGTTGGGGTTTTGAGGGGAGGGGATGAGGGGTTTATAACCATCCTTTTCATGTTTGGGAGTTGAAATGAAATGATAATTTAAGCTCAATTACAAATGAATATCAGTTCAATTTTTTAGTTCGTCGTATCTTAAAGTGATTTTAATTATAATTCATTCAAAAACCGTCTTCTTCCAAAATTTGAACTCCCAAATACGAAGAAGGTTTCATCACCTTTCCTTCCTTTTCCCCTCTAACAACATACCTCCTAAGTCTTTCTCTCTCTTTCCCTTCAAGCTCCCAAACATACCCTTAAGATTTTGAAAAGTGCTCTTTGTACACGCCAGTTTTTACATGCCGGTGTACACGCTGGCCAAATTGTCAGTATACAGACAATTTGACCGGTGTTTTATGAAGAAAACCGATTTCCACACAGACAAAACAAAAAATTTGTCTGTGTCAAAGACATTTTAAAATTATGGTTTATAATTCCCGTTTAAAATTAGCTATATCAGAGACATTTTATGAAAAATTCTCGTCAAAAATGTCTGTGATATAGACAACTTTTTGTTTTTGTCTGTGTGGAAATCGGTTTTCATCATAAAACACCGGTCAAATTGTCTGCGTGTACACGAAGCGGGACTGTAAGTTTTTTCACGGGTTTTAAGAATAAAATAGAAGGTGTAGGTAAATAAAAAGTATGAAAGAGAATATATTGAGAAAAAAAGGAATGAAAGAGTATGAAAGAAAAAGAAGTTTATAAAAGTAAAAAAGTAACAGTATTAAAAGCGAGTGTGTAAAGTAGCAGGCTGTTGCTTGTTCATGTCCGTTAATAAAACGCATTAAACACTCAACAAATTCGTCCCTATATATAGCTGGCAGGTGCTTTGCAACGGTCGATTGTGTGCTCAAGCGATTGTTCGTAGCTATCATATTTTGGGAAATTATCGCTACAACGCTCCTAGCACTGTGTGAGGCATCAAATACGTTTTAAAGAAATTGTGCATTGCACAAGCTTTGACGTTTCTTTCCCTTCTCATTTTCTGTTTTCTTGGCTATTTTAATTAATTTAATTAATTAATTTCTTTTTTTTCCTGAATTCACCCAACAAGTTTTCCTCATAACAAATTTCAGTGCATTCAAAACAACATAAAAGAACGTATTATTCATTTGTCTTATTAGACTGTGACAACTTTTCTTTTTTGTTTGTCCAAAAAACTTTGCAATTATCACTTTTCTTTCAAAGTAAATAGATTGTGATCCTACTTATTGCTCTCCTCTGCACAACTTTTAACCACATAATTTTTTATTTTATTTCATACGTAATACAAACTTGATAATGTCCAATGAACTGGGAGTAGTGTTATTTTTTATCAATTATATTAAATTATAATCGTTATTCTAGATCTAGTAATAGTAATACAATGTAACAATAATAGAATATACGTAGTAATACATAGTATTGATCTGGTGAGGTTAGTCCAATATGATACTCCCTCCGTTACTAAATAAAATTAAAGCATTTGTTTCATTTTCGGGCGTTCCTAAATAAAAGTCCCCTTTTCTTTTTTGACAAACAAAATAATGCAAAACACGGTAAAACAGTGTCAAACAGTGTCAAACAATATTTCTTCTCAAATTGTGTGCCATTCAAACGAATGCTTTTATATATGGATGTAGGGAGTATAATCAAGTAGTTAAGTACGGTCTGTTCAATTTGCAGTCTCGTAGCCTCGTATCGACTGATTCTGCTGAAATTTATGAAGTTCTAGATGGATTGACTGATTCTGCTGACTTATGAAAAAATTATATTTAAAATATAATTTATTAATAAAATACAGAAAAAAATGCATGAAAAATAGCTAAAATGATCCTCTACGGTAACTTCAGCCAATACAACCATAAAAATAACTACAACCTTACTTTTTCTTATCATTTCAGAATTTAGTGCGTGAAATCAAAAGATACGTCTTCGATAATAAAGTTGACTAATAAACCTAACAAGCCAAAAAATATGATCACCAAATGGTCTAAGTCAATTTGCCCAAAACTGGCTTTACGTCACATAATACATGTATCATGACACTAAAGTCAATCCCAAGGCATTATAATTTTGAGCTTGAGAATTAAGATTGAGGCACTTTTTATACTCCCTCCGTCCCAGAATTAACTTCGGTTTTGACTGGGCACGGAGATTAAGAAAGTGGGAAATGTGTGGTTGAGAGTTGTGCAGAGGAGAGAGAAATGTGTAAGAATGGTTGTGAACCACAAATCCTTTGCTAAAAAAGGAAAGAGGAGATAAATTTGGGACGGACCAAAAAGGAAAGAATGAAGATAATTATGGGACGGAGGGAGTACAATTTAAAATTTGTGCCAATTTTTTAAAAATAAACGTGAAATGGCCATAACTCTTCAAAGGAATACCTACCTCAAACACAGAAAAATTTTTCAAAAGTGAAGATTTTCTTCCCAAATGAAGTGGATATTTCTTCAGTTTTATATGCAGAGATTTTAGTGAAAAATTCTGATACCCCCAGCATGCTATATATAGCCAAGTTAAACTACCCATATGCGCAGAAACAGGAGAAATTCGGTGTTGGCTGCTGCCTGTTCACTTGCATCAGAATCTGCTAATTGCTTCCCAAAATTCACTTTTGTCTATGATATTCTTGATTGGATTTTTATACCTACCATTCTACAAAACACATTTTTTATCTAACTCTTGAATATATGATTTAGATGGTATGATACATCCATAACCCTTTGGTCACATTTGTTTATGCTACCTCCTCCATTAAAATTTTGCCATCTTTAAAACTTTGGCTAATTATAGATTTTTATTAGAAATTTTTTATAATATACAATGATATGTAAATGTTCTTTCTTTACATTACATTCATAAAAATATGGAGTAAAACTTATAACATTCATAATATTTTATTATCACAATCATAAATCATGATTCAAACTTTAGGACATGATGAAGTATTGAGGCGGCGGTAAGAAAACACCATTTTGAATGCATAAATAATTATTGTACCAGCATATTGCATGAGCTAGAACTATGGGGTCGCTTACTCGCTTCTCCGACGTCTCCGTCCGTTCATTCATTCATTCTTTTTTGTCGTGTTTGAACACCTCCCCAAGTTGAGAAAGGGACCAATAATGGACATCATAACTTATGCCAAAAACGTAGTGCAGATGTAAAATACTCACTATATATGTCTCGCACTAAGAAGTAATTTTTCATATTTAAATCTGGGATCACAATCAGGGGCGGAGCCAGGATTTGACGATAGGGGGGCGGGTCAAGAATGAACACAAGCAATAAAATGTATATACTACGTATACTTCGAGCTCGAAACAAAACCTTATATATAGATTTATTTTTTCACTAATTAAAGATGACTTAAGTAATAAATTTAAAATTATATATATGATATTTCTATCAACCATATATAATAATACTATGTATCACTTTAATTTAATACTACATATAATATATATTATTATAAAGTTTATATTGCATGTATATTAACATATAACTATCCATACACAACTAAATTATCAAGCAAGTACTAAAAAATTACAAATGAAAAGGAAACCTTGAAAACCATTCACAAGTAAAATTCGTAAATAAATTACTGGAAGATAAATTCCATGAACTAAAAGCTTAAAAAGGACATGGGAATAAGCAGATAAATACTAACTACTCGTAAAACATTAAAAAGGACATATGAAGTACTTAGATAATACTAATAATACTATTAAAAAATAAAATACTTGGGAGGGGCCAAGGCCCCCCTAACCTTGTTGATAGTTCCGTCCCTGATCACAATGAACCAGACAAGTCAAATAGACAATACATTTTTAAAACGTAAGGAGATGAAAACGGATAAAGGATGCATTTCCCTTGTTTGAATAGCAAATTGAAGTAAAAAGAAATAAACGATTTTTTTTTTGAAAATAAATACACATTCTAAGGTCAGAGACGACCCAAAAAGCACCCCATCTTATCAGAAAATTAAGTCTACTTGACACGTAAGCAAATAGGAAAAGAAATTTAATTTTTTGACTAGATAAGGTTCACTTGAGAAAAACAATTTCTCAAAAAATGATAGGAATCAAACTGCGCTTTTCGGAGTCTTCCCAGGGAAGCTCTCCAAAATACTACTCCCTCCGTCCCAAAATTATCTTCATAGTTACTATTCACATGGTCAACTCAAATTACTCTTAATCTTTTACTTTATATATCAAATTCTTATCAAACTTAAATTTTCTTGATCAGGCTTTGTAGCAGTTTTAATGTAGTTTCTGAATATGTAAATTTTATTTACTAAAAGTAATCCGAGTGTGAACAGGGATCGAGTTGCTTTATCGTCAGTCAAGCATCGTAAACCGAACTATGAAGATAAATATGGGACGGAGGTAGTAATACAAATATTGATAAAGCGGTTAGCAAAACAAAAGGAGGGTGAATTATGTGTGGGGAACCGTGACAATTTTTCGCCAAGTTCTAGTGTGGGATATAGGGTGAAGCGAAATAATAAAGTGCACAAGGATTTTAACGAGGAAAAATCCCTTGGCTCAAAGGGACTAAAAACATCGACCTCCCTCGGAGGAATTTTAACAACTTCACTAATAAGCCTTTGTGGTTACAAGATAAACTTTCCTAATCTACCCTTGATCCATCCCAACTCTATCCTCTCTAGGAAGAGTTATGCTTCTCTACCTTGCGGGTAGAGAGCCTCTCAGCTTTACAACAAAACACTCACAACACACTAGCCGACCTGAGGATGCTACACTTAGCTAATCCTCAAAACCCGATTACAATATGGAGAAAAGAACGAAAAAGAAAACTATATCTAGAACTTCTTGTGAGAAGGTTTAGGTGCCTGGGACTTGGTAGTTCTTTTGTGAACATCTCTCACTAGTAGCTCGGTCAAGCACACTAACTTCTTCTCTTGATCTTGCATATATATATATATACTAGCGTCGGTACGCGCGTTGCGCGACGGTCAGGGCCCAATGCTCGGTAAAGATGCCGCATAAAACCAGATAGTTTAGGAAGGCCATGAATGCTCGGTAAAGATGTAACATAATTTGAAGTTAATCATTCAAGTGAACCAATTACATAAGTCAACATATAATTGAAGGCCATGAATGATGGTGGCAGTTGATACGTGATGCAAGTGTAGTACGTAAAAGTTTGGATATACGGAAAATTAAGAATAAAACAAAATATCATCAGGCACCTTTCATTGGAATAGAGAAAATGTAGAAGAGCTAGTTGACCTTAGGTCGAAGTCATCTGCATATGGAGGGACTGCGCAGCTTCTGATCATATGCTCTCAGACAATCAGATATTCCGACAAATGAAATAAGAGACGGGCCAAAATGTATATAGGTGAAAGGCAAGGTTGATCCTTATGTGTGATGTAATACGCAGATCAAAAGATGGAGATAATGATAAGCTTTGGGACGGATTTTTTTTTGTCTTAAAATTTGTAGTGCTATTACATAGATGACTAAATCACAAATTAGGCAAAAATCTAGTGATACAATATTAGCATCTAATAAAAAGCACAAACATGTTACTAACCAAATTGTCAACCTGATGCACAATAATCTTATCTGATGCACCTCATAAAAGTAAAAATAATCTTATCTGATGCACCTCATAAAAGAAAAATGGATGTACTAAGTGCAGGTTTCAATTATCAGCAAAGCATACCATACTAACTAATGCACTTCTCTTATCGCATAAACATACATGCTCCATGAGACTCGGATTAAATATCCCCTATCAACATAATATCTTATGGAAAATCAGTCATATCTCAAGAATATATAGGAAAACAATTTTTTAGGAAAACGAAGGAAATAGTACATAGAAAAGCACTCACATAGAAAAAGCCTTTGAGTTCCAGTATTGTAGTTACCCTTGCAACTTGATATGAGAGACTTGATAAAAGACAAACATATGAGAGACTTAATAAATACTTACCCTTGTAGACAAAGGAATCAAAGAAGCAGCCACAATCTCAAAGTTCCTGCACACACAAAAAAACTCAACATCGGGAAAATATATTTCAACTATTTCAAAAAAAATAAGATATACACTGGGTGAACAAACTAAACTGGTCTTATAAGAGAGTTGCATTGTATGAAAAAGATGTTCAAAAAATGAGGGAGTTTGAGTTTATGATTATGAAGTTTAAGCCGGAAAAAAGAAAAAATAACTTTTATTCGCACTGATGATATAGGGAGTTTACATAATTTAGGCGGGTGGCGTTTATTCAAAGATATCTTGATTCAAGCCTAGTTGCTGATAACTCGCGTAATCAATGTCATTTAAACGTACACAACATAATACCTTGTCGAGCAATTCTTCAGGTTTGTTACCCTGGTTTACAAAAGAACATTGCATCTAGGGATAAATATATAAATTGAATACATCTATGAACATTGCACTTAAGTAGAGTAATGCATAAATTCTGATAAAAATATATATGAATAAACACTCAAAACAAATAGGTAGATAAAAATATAGAAACAAGTACTCAAACCTGAATAGAGTTTTTGCAAATTGTAAGGGCTTGGCCATGGGAGCGGGAGCGGGAGCAGGTGAGGGTTCAAAATGGAAAAGAATGATTTTGTTTCTCATCTAATAAAACTTTGGAAAATCAAGATGCCAAATTATGAAGAAAAAGGTAGAAAGATAAATAACACTAAATAGCGATGAACAGGTCCAAGTTTTATTGGTGTGTTATTCAGAATTCGTGCTCTTTTTCAGTCCAGTCCAGATATACCTTTACACCAGTTCCAAGTTTTATTGGTGTGTTATTCAGAATCGGCCTGCATTTCATACCCCGTTCGTCAGTTATGCAGAGATGGAATGACATTTCACTACTGGAACTTTCTTTTGGTTCTATATCATCAGCAGATTCGGACATAGAACCATATTCAGTGCTACAGTTCATGGGATCGTCTACAACTTCCGAGTCAGATCCAGTTTGCCTATCCTCAAAACCAACTGTCGACTTGATATATGATTTTCTTCTTAAAGGAGAAAGCATTCTGTCAACAGCAAGATCTATATTGACTCCAGTCACAGGGTCCTTCTCCAAGAAAGTAACAAGTGGTGTCAAGAAGGGCTTCCACTCTCCAGCCTTTGAGTTGTTTATGATACCTCTACATGAAGAGAATACTATTGTCATGGAGTGGTATAGAAAGCAGGAGAAGAGAAAATACACACACTATTGTAAGCAACATAATACAGAAACCTAAAGTAAAATAACATGAGAGCATGAACCAATGTCTTTTTTCATTATTGAATAGTTGGTTTTTTGGGCAAAATTAAAGATAGTTTTTTCTTAAGAATTGGACAAATCCCTGCTACTATTTAAAATGTATATAATTCTAGTGACTGAAAAACAATGTTCCAATTACAACAGTGTGCAGCACCAATAGTCTATGCTTACTTCTCCCGGTGGCAAATCTCCAGTTTTGCTGATCTTATTGCTCTTTTGGGAAGTCTGTAGGCTACTATTTGTTCATCATCCTTAACTGACTGCAATGGCTCAGCAGAGCTTTCTAAGTACCAAAATATTCGATGTTGATAAACCTTCATGAAAATTAAAGATATAAGCAACAAATATTCATCATTCTGTAAGCAACATTCTCTTCCTAGAGCTTGTAAGAGATCTTGAAGGCAACCATGTTTTAGTACAGTAACTGTATACGGCATAGGAAGGGCACTTCCATCACCATAAAACAAAGTCACAGTAATTATCCTGATGGCCGTTGATGGAAGAGGCAAGGACAAGTACATGAATGGATCAAATGTAATTGTTATTACAGTTAAGAATAATATTCCTAAAAGTTTAAAAGGTAATACCTCATCAAATTAGATGTGATTGATGAGGAAATAAAACAGGACTATTTGGTACATTTAACTAAAATAATATTGAGCAAAACCAGTTCAGCTGGTGCACACAATCAAAGACGTCAATGAAACACCTACTAATGTAAACATTGTGTGACTGCAGCTAGTAAACAGATTAAAATTATTTGAACCAACGTGAGGGTGCTCTGTAAAAGAAAAACAACATTTGAGGAACTATTCAAGTGATTTTAGTTAAGGATGCAAATTATAAGAAATAATACCTCTCCCTGGAGCTATAAACAAAGTGCATGATCTGGGGATAAAACAACTTCTTCCCTTATACTCTAAACACAAGTACCGTAAACATGCAAACATTCAACCAAGCAAAAGAAAAGAGAGAAAAAAGGAGATTAAAAACCAAAGATAGTATTTCAACTCTTCAGTGGATAATGTATCTCCAAGTGAAACACATACGGCTGGTATAGTGGTATCCACTTGTTATCGAACCAGAGTTTTAAACAAAAAATCATTTTAGCTAACCACACAAAGAACTCTACAGACTCTTACTTGGGAAATTACTTTGTTTAGTGTTTCCAGCAATAGATCATTCATAGATCATCCTATAATTGTTTAATGGAGAGTGAAATTCTCACCTTTTCACGGGAAAATGTTATATCGGTAGGGGAAAAAAGAATCAGATCTCAAAGGTGTAAAGAGTAAATCAGTATTGTAAATCACCTATCTATGTTTATAATTTTGACCCTCACTTCATTTCCCTTTGTTAAAACATATCTTACATTACACAAAACATCCCACGACACTTCTGTGACATGCCCAAACCTAGTAAGGTAACAATATCCTGCATCACAATGTATAATACATGGCTATTAGAAAATCACACCACTTGAAATATTCAAAAACAGCAACTACAAACTATATAGGTAGATTTTTGAATTAGAAAGTAAGGCATTTTCAGTAAATCCATTTTAAAATAACATTGTTCAGTTTTCATATAAAGCATATTCTACTTGAGGCTGATTATCAAAGCTCAACTATACCAGACCATAATAAGAAATTAAAGAAGACACGAAAACTGAGTACCTGTTCGGTTCTTTTGAACCCCACTATTCCATTTGATGATGTTTCTAAACCACACAAGATAATCCCAATGCATATCCTGTAAATTAAAGAAGAAAATGTAATTGAACGAGTTGGAATTAAAATAAAAGTGAACTGTAATGATTGAAGCTATAAATCAGCATATTCTTTTGGACAAATGAATCCCATCATCAGTTGCTTTAGTTCAGACATAAACAGAAGTACTATACCTTGCAATTCATATTTCGAATACTGTTATTCTAAGTTTGAAGAAAAACAGATCAACACATCATATATGGTAACAAAAACATTTCTTAGTTTTATGAAACGATGATCAAGACTCAAGATTTTATAATTAAGTGCTAAGTACTAACCATCAGCCTTCCTATTTCATTGGAGAACTTATACTGCATATTCCACAAATATTAAAGTAAGGTAAGAACTTTTGTTTGTATAATGACTTTCAATATGTTCTATACAAATTAAAAGAAAAGTTAAATGTTTTAAACTTTAAAGCGGTAACATTAAACAGATCCCTTCCATAAATGAACAACCATGGAGGCTCAGACAAAGATCATTAACAGGCAAAGAGAAACATCTGACACCGCCATGACTGCAAACACACAAAACACGTGAGATATTCACGTCTGATCAGTGTGTTGCCACGCCAAGATACGGGTCGTGTATCCCTAATGGCCATCAACTGGATCAAGAAAATGAATTATCATCACAGCCCCTCTATAAACAACATTATCGTTGCCAGCACCGACCCCGTTAACCTTAGGGACCTTAGTTTAACCTTATGGAAATATCACATGTAGCTGTTGTATATCAGGGACAAATTCATCATAGGTAGCAAACCCTTTATCACATCAAAATTTTCAAACGCAACATTTTCACAATCACTAATAGGGACAACAGCATTTTCATAATCAATAGCAAGGCCATCTTTTACAGAACAGTTCACAATTAGAACATTTTCATTATCAGCAACAGGGACAAAAGCATCACAAATAACAAGAGCATTACAGTGAATTAGAAATGGCCAAGTTATTATTGACAGTTGGTGTGTATTTCTGGCAACAGTAACCTCAACATCGAAAGAGGGTTGGAGAATCATCGGTTGGTTTTGGGCCGAAATCGAGAAAAACCCTAGGGCCTCGAAGGCCTTCTGAATAGCGGCCAGAGGGACGCGGCCATTAGGGTAGGTCCCAATTAACCAAAGAGCAACAGATATTAGAGGATAGAACCTGGATTTCATCTTGCGAAAAGGAAACCTCGGAAAGACTTTGAATCTCCCGTGAGGGTCGCCTATGTCCGAGAAGGGCAGAGCATCCGACCATGAAGAAACTCACTTGCACGCAGGCATCGGGTGAATTAAGAGAGAAGGTAGAGCGACTGACTACGAAAGGAGCAACAGAATAGCTAAACGAAAGAGATATTATCTCAATCGATGAATCCCATCCGCATGCTTCAATAGGAGCAAACAGGAGCAAACATTCTTCCCAGCCACATAAAAAGTCGGAAGCGAGGGAAGAAGACGGTAACATGGCGTTAAGTTTCCTCTGCCCCAAATTGAAGTTCCCGTCGATCACTGTACACACGGAAATAAGCCAACTAACTGTCTTAGGCGCTTAATGTATATAGTAAGATATATATATATATATATATATATATATATATATATATATATATATATATACTAGCGGGGCGCGCGCGTTGCGCGACGGATGGGGCCCAACGACGGAAAATAAACAAGGAAACTCATAAATGCACCATTGTGGCCAAACGAGGAAACTGTTCATATTCGGGCCAAACACTCTATACCATTGTGGCTCTTTCAGATCAAGCAAACTAATACTCATTTGCATTCTATATACACCCTTGGTTTTTCCCCACTGGGAAAAATAAGCATGCTATATAATGAAGTAAATTATAAAAAGATAACCAGTTAGCTAAACGACAAATTGAAATAGAAAAGTAAGATTTGATATATTATTTTAACATCACATAAGTATAAGAAGAATGTAAGTATCAAATGACTTTCTTTCATGCTAGGCAAGCTTTGGATAATGAGCAAGTAAAAAAAAAAACATATACCATGATATCACATTTAACTGAAAGTATCACTTCCCTCCATAGCCTCTAAGATATGACAAATATATTTGAAAGAAAGGAAAAACAAATAAGAAATGCTACACTTATAAAAACAATAAAATACATTATTATTGAGGGATAAATGAAGCAAATAAATAAAGATAAAGACGCTTCTAATATCGCGTTGAGTTGAGCCCTCAGTTTCACCAAAGGGTTTACCAAAACCTAAGGAAATAAGAGGTGTTCACCCGAATGAAAGAAAAATAAAAGCAAGAATAAAACGTAAATAAATTAAAATTCAAATAAAACAAGAAAAAAAACCTGGAATAAACCTGACTTATTCACTCTGCTTATGCTGACTGAATGCAGACAACCGATACAACCGATACACTGCATAGTGTCTCCAGTATACCTGAAAAGGAAACAATAGAGATGTTGTCTGTCCTCAGATAGAGTATCATCACTGGACAATTTTCATTTTTGGCAGATTCAAAAGTAGGATCAGTAAGAGTTTCTTCATTTCCTACCTGAGCCTCAAAATAATCATTGGCAGTAGGGTGTTCACATACAGCAACGTTGACTCCGGAATCCAGCTCAGTGCCTGCAGAAATTGCATGTTTGCAGGCAGTCACAGGTGTTTCAACAATAGGGATAATATCAAAAGCAGCAGGTGTTAAACCAGAGTCAATTGCAGCAAACTGTGCTTCAAAATAGCTATGTCAGTGTCAAAAGGGATTTAATCAATAAGGGAATCTAAACCAAGGTCAATTGCAGCAGGATGTGTTTGAAAAGCTAAATCAATATCAACTGGGACAATATAAGTAATGATAGGGGCAATATCAAAGGCAGCAGACTGTACCTTTGAAAGAGACAACGAATCAGGGACCACTTTAGCACCACAAGAGTTAACCAGGGGATCATAAAAATCAAAGGCAGCAGACTGTTCTTTCATTTTCTACAAATTAACAAACATTATCATCATCATTATTAAAATAAACTTTTATTAAGATATTAAGATAGGCTCAACACTAAAGGATCAGTCAAACCAAAAACAATAAATGGTTGTTCGTAGGAGATTAAAGCGTATAAAAATATAAAAAAAGTAGAACTAAAACTAACTAAATAATTTAAGAAAATGCAGCAAACAATAAAAAACTTTCATTAAGAAATACAGAGCAAATTATAGAAGCAAATGAACAGTTTTTACCTCAATAAGATTTTACCTCAATAAGATTAACACAAGAAGCAGAGACTCAGTTTAGAAAATTCCTCATGTATTATCAAGCACGTACATGCGGCTGTTGTTGTTTTGGCCATGTAAGCATGGAAGAACCAATGTTAAAAGTTGCAACTACGAAGGAAAGAATCAAAGATAAATCTCATGTCTCTGACTATGGAACCTGTGAGTTGCAACATATAATTAGTGTTAAGTTAGGGTAAAACAGCTATATTGATCATATAATTAGTGTTAAGAAATCTTGGAATACACACTCCTAGGCTATGTTCGGAATGCGATAAAGAGGAAGATGGGAACGATTGTCGAAGAAACTACTTTCATTTAAATGTTTTATTTTTATTATACATAGCAAAGTGCAAAGATAGAAAAAGGTATAAACCAAAAACTAAAAAAATATAGTTTTCAAGGATCACCCATATCCGCCTGTTGATCCAAAGACCAAAGCTCCATTGTTCAACAACAAACAAACATTACCAGGCCGCCTTCGGTGAGAAGCCAAGTGCAAAGGTGTTTCTCCCCATAGAGCATTAGAAAAACCACCTCTTCCTGGAAATAGCGGTCATCCCTTAAGTTCTGCTGGAAGAGGCTTTATTTATTAATCAGCATGCCTATGGACCACAACTCCAACCTCACCTTGAGGTCAAAGTTGGACAGAGAAATTAAAATTTTGAAAAGCTAAATATGTCAAAGTGCAATAGATGTCAAATCTTACTCCATACTAATCTGCACAAAGATTCCAAGACTAATTAAAAGATCATATATGTTAAATATCCTTTTTAATTCAATTTTCTTTTTGTTTACTCTTGCTAATCAAAAAAACAAAATTTTGAAACAGGGAGTAAAGTTTTGATGAATAACTATCCTTATAGACAAAGGTAGCGGACTGAAGGAACCGCCGTGACCTAAACAAACACTTTGTGCACTCACAAAAAAGATAGTAAAAAGAGATTCATTTTTTTGTAATATGGCTAGATTAAAAAGATAATAGAGTATCATGTAAGCATAATACTGACCACACAAAACATGATAAAACCTAGTTTTCTCCGTAAGGCGATTTAGCTTTATCTCCTACTATCGTGACTTTTGTCTCCATCGAAGTTCATACAAATGGATCAAAGAATAACAAGGCCTCTAATAATTTCTTTTAATTCAATTTTGCTCAAAAAATTATTACTAAATGGTTAGAATATTATAACTTAAGCGGTAAAGAAAAATACAAAATTTGAAAAGCTGTTGTTTTTAGAAAAAGAAAGTGAAAGTACAATACTGAACATATGCCTCAAATACTAACATAAAAAAGATCCTAGAGCTAATTAAAATACTTTTCCTTGAATGATCCATACTAACTCATTTTGTTTTTTGTGTATTCTTGTTAATTAAAAGACAAACACATGGTAGGCCTGATAAAAACTTACCCTTGCAGACGAAGGAAACAAAGAAGCAGCCACAAACTCAAAAGTTCCTGCACACAAAACAACTCAGATCACCGGGAAAGTTTATTTTACTTCCTCCGTATTTTTTTGTTTGCTACAATAGGTGCTGACACATTTATAAAGTGTGAAATAGTATGGGTAATGAATAGTGTAGAAAAAGTAGGAGAGATGGTGGAGAAGTACGAAAGAGAAGATAAAAAGTAGAAAAAGTAAGAATGATTGAGTATTTTTAAAGGAAAAACTTATCAAAAAAGGAAAGTGTAGCAAATTTTTGAATACATCCAAAAAAGAAAAGCTTAGCAAACAAAAAAATACGGAAGGAATAACTGTTTTGGAAATAAAATAAGAAATACACTGTGTGAACAAACAAACTGGTTTTATAAAGACACCTATAGAATCTTCCACTCCTATTTCAGGAAAAGCCTTCCATTTCCGTCGAGTGACCTGACCTCCAATTTGTTTCATACCACAAATTTAATCAAAATAAAGCAGGTCATACCAAATCAAATTTGTTTTTAGTTTACCTTTTAGCAGAAATGAATATGATTCACTTTGTTTGGGTCGCTATTTGCAGCGATGTTAACGAGCTTAGCTGGGCTAAACATTTGTTCTGCCAAAACCCCTAATCAACTGAGGAATAAAAATCAAGGTCAAAAGAAAAGCGTTAAATTTAAATCAATAGAAAATCGGAGTACAGAGAAATGGATAAAAAAATTATACACAAAATGAAAGTATCTTCAAGCACATGCCATCGAAAAGAGAAAAGAAGAGCTAGTTGACCTGAAGTCAAATTCATTACAGCTGCGAAACTATCCATCTTCTAATAATATGCTCTGGGGCATTCCTATAGATAATAGATAAAATAAGAGGCAAACCAAAATTTATATACGATGTTTTTCTCCAGTTTGCAGTAACCTCAAAAGGAAAAAATAATTAAAATGCAATTCCGCAAATGCACATTGGTCACTTATCAAGCCACCGGTCGGTGAGAGCTAAGAGGTCATGTTTGCTCACCAAGTAAAGGAGACACCCAATTCCAGATTCAGCTGACTGCCACAACAGCAGAGATGACTCAAAGACCTCTTGAGAAAAAACTGCTCCAGAGATAGCACTTATGACAGCCCCTCTTATAAACCCACTCTCGGTCTCTTGGCCAATCAAAGCTCCAGTCATTGCTCCTAATAAGGTACCCACTGCAACAACAAAGGCAAAAAATGCTTCATTACTTTCAACTAAACCAAATATGACTCAAACGGATAAAAACACAATCTTTTTTGAGCTCTCAGATCAAGATGCACATGTGGTCAAAGTGAATAACAGAGAGCATACGACACTACATCAACTTGACTTAGGTTCCTCCCATTGTGTTAGAACGTCAAAATATAAAGTAAAGAACGTTTTTTTCGATGCCCAATTGGAAACACACTTCCAATAATATAATGTTACATTACATTCTCCTAACAGTATGAGGTGAGCAAGCCAAAAACACATGCCTTAATCTTCTTAGGATGGATGGTACATGGCCTCCTACGAAAATAGCCTACACAATATATATAATATATGGGAGCAAGAAAAACCAACTGTCTTAAACTAAGGCTTGAGAAATTAGAATGCACGGCCAACTGATAAGATCTGACTTGCTAGCACCTAGGAAAATTGGTGTTGAGCGTTTTATAACATTACTCTATCTTGTAATCTTGTTATTCACTCATTGCTAGTTATGCCCCAGCTTTTTCAGAAGCAACTTTGTTATTAGCATTATTATTCAACATCAAATTAAGCCGATCTGCAAATAGCTGATTCTGGAGTTGTTGCACTAAGTAGAACTCCCTTTATGTGCGTAATTCATTGTCCTCAAAATGTGCTATCTTTCCTTCAATCTCTTTTATCTGATGAGCAACTTGAGAAATTGCAGTCTCCACATTCAGTTCTTTTATCAAGTTGCAACTGTGCTTCAGCAAGAGCTCATTCATATTGATGTTGCTATCTATTATCTCCATACTGAATGCAAAAGTAAAGCATGCATGAATTATGAATATCACTTGCACACATTTTAATATATCACTTTCATAAAAACAATCAGGAAGTTATGTGTTTCACCTGAAATGAGGGAATTGGGTTAACTGGCCACTTATCAGTAGAAACCCACAAATGCTTAATAGTAATACTGACTTGTCGTACAATCCTGTCAAGATAATAAATCTTCTAATATGAAAAGTTCAAAAAGAATTATGACATTCAAAGAGTTCGTAAATTTTGTCAACTTAGTTCATATCTTGGTTTTTCTAATATCTTACATATGTAATGTCAAAGAGTTCCAATTTAAACCAGACCTAATGCTCTATGGGGAAAAATTGTGTGCAAAATGCCTGCATACGTTTTCAAAATTGCAGCTTTAATCTCCAAGTTAAGCTGGTTGTAATTGAAGGTAAATGAATTTTGTTACGCTAACTTCCCACGTTTAGAGCACTAAACACTTTTCAAAGTAACCAGCATTCCCTGGAATAGTTTTTATTGGAATTCTCCAAGTGGGATCTGTGTTCTTTTCTACTATCAATTGCTAGCATAAATTAAATAAACTAATCATAAATTTCCAGAAAAAACAAAGAATTGCAGCGATAATTTATGAGATTTTGAAATTCAACCTTGATAGAGTAACAGAGCTCAGGGAGATATTTCTTGTGGGAGTGTACACTTGCGTGCGGCCAAGTTTCGCGATATGCAGGCAAATTGAAGTTCATCGTAGACCGCATATACACTGGAAGGGGAACACACCATCGATTGCGCCATGTTCCGATGGAACAACCACCGAGTCTGTCTCTGAGAGCTTATTTGCAATGGCAACGACAAATTTTAAACACCGAGGTTTTGTCTCGTTTGTCGGCCGAAGGGTGATCGAAGGGAAGATGAGAGAAGATTTCTGGAGAGAAAATGAGAACAGAAGATGAGTGATGGTGAGATGTCGAGTGAGGGGGAGAAAACGAGAGGCTTCCCTTAATCCACGTAACGGCAAAAGGAGGTAGCAAACGGACGTAGTAAACAGGGCTAATAATCGGAGACGGCAATAACGGAAACAAGCCAACTAACGGGCTTAGGCGCTTAATGTATATAGTAAGATATATTTTTTATTTTTTTTTTTATTTTTTTTATTTTTTTTTATTTTTTTTATTTTATTTTTATTTTTTTTTTTATTTATTTTATATATATATATATATATATATATAGAGGAATGTTCAGCTCCGAAAATTCCTGGTCTGAACACCGTCCGAACATGCCCATTTGGGGCCCTTCCCGGTGGAATTGTTTGATGAAATTTTTTGAGAATATTCCTCATCAAGTCTAGTTTGTCCATACCAAATTTCAGCTTAAAATGCGACCGGGAAGGCATTCAAATCATTTTTTGCAGTTGACTGCGTTTTTATATGTATATTTTGATGCAGTCAACTTCAAAAAATGATTTGAATGCCTTCCCGATCGAATTTTGAGCTGAAATTTGGTATGGACATACTAGAATTGCTGAGGAACATGCGCAAAAAAAATCATCAAAAAATCGACCGGGAAGGCACCCAAACAGGCAAGTCCGCACAGCACATCTGGTCAGGCGCGCCTGACCAGATCATTAATATATATATATATATATATATATATATATATATATATATATATATATATATATATATATATATATATATATATATATATATTTATATATACAGGGGAAAGATCAAGTACAAACTGTGCTTATTGTGCAAATGTTCGTACGATGCACCTTGACGTTATTTGCATTGCATATTGAGGTTCAAAGTGTTGCATATTATATAGTCATAAAATAGCAGTTGCACATTAACATTCAACGAGTTGCACCCTAGAAAAGTTACGTTTTATTACAAAATTGTCACCTTGCCTTTATATCCTTTAGATCAACTCATCTGATGGCCAAGATAAATTTGTACTTTGTAAATTAAGCACGGTTTGTATTTGATATCTATTATAAATATATATATATATATATATATATATATATATATATATATATATATATATATGCTAATTTGAGAAGTCCGTTCACACCTTTCTTCCCATAGATGGTTGAGAAACATTCCTTGATATTATTTAAAAAGCTTTCCTTATATTTAAGGATCTTCTAGCTCTCAATTATGATGGTCCTCGGTCAACCATACGTATTGATGGAGTTAAATCCAACTACGAGAGCTAAATATATGTAGATATGAGAATAATATGGCAGCATAAGGCAGTTTACTCTTTATTCCGGAGAACTAGCAATAGTCTAGCCTCAGTTCTGAATCTTATCGGGGGTTTGATTTCGGGGGAAGCTCCATTCATAGAGTGTTTACATCAAGTATTTATAGAGATTAGGAAGTAGAATTATGGGAGGAATCTAATACAATAAATGCTCAATTAATGAACTATATTCTTGCTCGAAATAGAACTCTTCGATGCTTGACTCCCACACGATTGCTTTCCCTTTTTAGTCACCGTCCTCCGGATGAGTTCGGCCTGTTGCCAAATATCTATCAACGAGTGGTAGCTTGCCACGTAAGCCCTAGGAATTTTCTGCCCTCACTAGAACTCCGCCCAAGCTCGAGGTCTGCTGTCCAGCCCGGCCTGGTTGTGGGTTCTTATCGTGGGCCTAATTCCTAATGGGCTAAGCGGCTTTCAACCATGAATCCCGTTTATGGGCTAATCCAATAATTAGGCCGGTCCCATCAAGGGCCGATCCCGTTTATGGGCTAATCCTGTAATTAGACTGGTCCCGTCAAGGGCCGATCTCGTTTATGGGCTAATCCTGTAATTAGGCTAGTCCCATCAAGGGTCGATCCCGTTTATGGGCTGGACTACGTAATTGGGCCATGGTCTAAATCCATTGTACCATCACGAGCCCCCCTACTCCTCAAAATTAGCAGTGCTGAATTTGGAGGAGTAGAATTGAAGCGGTTCATTAGATTTCAAATTTCGAATCTTTGTAGGCGGCTGTAGTTCTGCCTTAGCAATTATTGCGCCGAAGTAGGGTTGCAGCTCGGGCTCAATTTCCAACCGGCTTTTCATTTCCCGATTTCTCGAATCTCCGGATGCGGTTTTCCCAAGCGGTTTCGAACAGTTGCGAGATGACTTCCAAGCGGTTCCAACGATCACGAAGCGTTTTAGGGTTTTGCTATAAAAACAACTTTCCTTCGTATCCTTTCGTTATTCGGACATTCTTCGATTTCCCTGAGCAAAATTTTGGTTCATCATGTCTTCATCTAAATCCTCTTCTGTTCCAAAGTTTCTTCACGATACATCTACTCATTTTTATCTTCCGGCCGATAGGGCCCGGGCCGTGACCGCGACAGCCCTTTCCGACGCTGAGTTTGACGCGGCCGCTGCCTTGGCCGGACCTAGCGTAGTCTGCTCACGCCCTACTCCCGGGCAGAACATTGTGTAGCCCCCTTCTCCTCTCCATTTCGGAGTACACCTATCCAGCCTGCACATGGGCCTCAAATTTCCCCTTCATCCCTTTGTGCAGAGCATCCTTGCTTATTACCGTGCTGTTCCCGACCAGTTTGCTGCGGTGGCTTACCTCTTCCTGGCTGGGTTCATGGCCCGCTGTATGCATCTACGAATCCTGTTAAACACAAAGCTTTTCCGGCATTTCTTCTATGTAGCCCGATCTGGCGTCTTCTTCGCTAAGGGCTTCCTCGCGCTTTCTCAGAGGCTGGGCCATCACTTGTTCGAGGGTCCACCCTTTCCCAGCCTTGATCCAAATTGGGAGAAAAAATAGGTGTGGATGACCCCAACAAACGGTGAACTCCCCTTTAGTAATAAATGGGTAGAGTTTATTCGTCGATGGGACGTGCCCCTCCTTAACCAGGGAACTGAGTATGCTGCGGGTCTCCTTGACATGGGATCGCCTTATCGGTTAGGTCATCATCTGGGCGACGACGGGAAGGTGGTGATCACCCTTTCCCCAGGTCAGCCCTGTTATTTCTTATTATGGTAATTCCTCTTCTTACCACCCTAATGGTCTGTCTCCTGACCCTGTTCTCTTTCAATTTCAGGAGGTGTGGTGACGGCCTCTGGGGAACCTGACGGGTGCGAACAAGGAAGCGGTGCTGCAACTCTTGCCAAGCCGGCCGTTGACCTCTAGCTGCTCCCGACTAGGGGTGCTGGGGTGAGGCCAGCCTCCCAGGCCGTTTCCTTCCCTGCGGATGAAGAGAGCTCTGTTGATGTCGGAGGTTGACTAGTGCCAGGTGGCGTTTAGGGGGACGCCTTGACACCTGTTCTGTAAATTTGCTTTATTTTTGCTATCTATCTTGACAAACATCTTTCCAAGCTTGTGTGCTTGCAGTGTTTTCCGCCCTTAGGGTGGCTTGTAATCGAACAATTACCTTTCTACACTTTATTTTTGCATGCGTATATATCGTTATTGTCTCTCAATCCAACCCGTTTGTCCTGGGACTAACTACTTGTCCTGGCTTGGCCTTCTTTTGAGCTTAACTGGAAATACTGAGCCCTGAGTTCTGAGGCAGGACTCCACCTTGTTTGATTGTCCGGGAGTCCATCCTTTATTGGAGCCTTGTTCTGACCTCAAGGTCTGACTGTGGTTGCCAAATAAATAAGTCTGTTTTCTTTCACCTTGTCCTTGTAGTTTTAGCCCCGATTTCCCGGTCAGGGTCGTTTTCCTCGGGTTCTTAATTTCTGAACCGCGTCGGAGAGCTTTACCAATTTTAACCCTAAGTTCTTATTTTCTGAACCGAAGTAGGGTGGGTTCTTAACCTTAGGTCAATTAAGCCTTGTAATGAACCTCTTTAATTGGCGAGGCCTGGTGGCCTCTCCGGTGCAAAGTTAATTCCCTTAGTTCATCCTTAGCCTTTGTAAATCAGTCTTGGCCTTGAGAAAGGCCGTCTTTTCGTGTTTTGAGGAAATTTGATTTTGTTTATAAGGCTGTCTAATCTTGAAAAAGATCTTTCATTCCTACTCTCGTCTTTTGATAAGACAAAGTTGAACTGCAGAATTTGGATGAGTTTGGAATTTGTACTTTGACTTTTGCAAGTACCAAAATTAGGCGTAGTAGCCTTAGTTTTTTTTTTGGCGGTTAAACAACCTTCGCAATTTTACAAGGACTTTGTGAAAGAAAATCAACTTTTATTGAATAACTCTTTGAATCAGGATTACAAACCTATTGGTAGAATTTCATCAAGTGTTCGGAATTCCACGCTCTTTCCATCAGCTTTCCTTTAAGAGTGCTTAGCTTGTAAGTCCCAGACCCTACGACTTCTTTGATCTTGTAGGGCCCTTCCCAATTTTTGGCAAACTTTCCGCCCTCCAAAGGTTTGCTAGCGGACCTCCTTCTTAGAACTAGGTCCCCGACCTGAAATAGCCTTGGTCTAACTCTTGCGTCGTGGTATTCTTTAACTTGTCTTCTGTAGTTTTCAGCTTTAATGAACGCGTTGTCCCTTCTCTCCTCAATCAGGTGTAGTTCTGCCCTGAGCATGTCCTCGTTATTTTCAGGACAGGGCCGGCCATGGGGGCACTTTGCCTAGACAAGTGTCTAGGGCCCCCAATTTTTAAGGGCCTCCAATTTTTAGAATTAGGCTATTACTAATATACTTCGTACGTCGTATATGTGTATGTAGTTTAGATAGCAGATTTTCCACTAATTAATCATTCCACAAATGGCAATTCATTAATTAGTGGATTACTTTTGTTAGCCTGTACATCTTTACTTGTTTAGTTCTTTTATTAAATGGTTAGTGACTAGGGAGGAGGGTCTAGCCGTCTAGGTATACAAGTATGCAATGTAATTAGAGTAATTAGTGCAATACAACTTATACAACTATAAAGTATCGATCTGATTTATGATTTACTCAAACAACTTATTTTCTAATTTAGGCATGTAAAATTATAAATTTATTATAATAATACTTTGTGAATGTATTAAAATAACTACATTA